TGCACGCGTTTGTTGCTGTCGAGGATGCGCTGGAGCAGCTCGGTCATGAGGGGCTTCAGGTAGAGCTCGGGGGGCTGCGCGACCACCCAGTGGGCGTAACGGCTCAGGGTCCAGCAGGCGATGGACCTCACCAGCGCCTTCCTGTCCGCCAGGCACCGGATCAGGTGCGGCACCAGCTCGGGCAGGTAGGGCACCATGCCCTGCATGCAGCCTGGGGGGGCACAGGGGGGGTCAGGGATACTCACGGAGAGGACCTGGGATCACCCCCCCCTCCTCCAAGGGGTGGGGTTTTTTTGGGGGTCCTCCGTGCCTACTTTTGGGGAGGGACCAGCAGGATGCCCCGCCCCGGCTCCTCCCCAGGTGGTGTTTTGGGGGGGGGGTCACCTTCATGGATGGACCCCGGGAGCAGGATCCCCTATAATCAGGACCAGGAACCCCTAAAACCAGGATCCCCTATAACCAGGACCAGGAGCCCCTAAAACCAGGAGCCCCCATAACCAGGACCAGGATCCCCCATAACCAGGACCAGGAGCCCCCATAACCAGGACCAGGATCCTCTATAACCAGGACCAGGATTCCCTATAACCAGGACCAGGAACCCCCATAACCAGGACCAGGAACCCCTATAACCAGGACCAGGATTCCCCATAACCAGGACCAGGAGCCCCTAAAACCAGGATCCCCCATAACCAGGACCAGGAACCCCCATAACCAGGACCAGGAACCCCTATAACCAGGACCAGAAGCCCCTACAACCAGGACCAGGAGCCCCTAAAACCAGGATCCCCCATAACCAGGACCAGGAGCCCCTAAAACCAGGATTCCCCATAACCAAGACCCCCCCAGGTGTCATTTCAGGGGGTCACCTTCTGCAATGGCCCCCAGGACCCTCCCCAGGTGTCATTTTGAGGGGGTCACCTTCAAGGATGGCCCCCAGGACCAGGATCCCCTATAACCAGGAGACCCCCAGGTGTTATTTTGTGCCCCCCAAGACCAGGATCCCCTATAACCAGGATCCCCTATAACCAGGACCCCTCCCCAGGTGTCATCTTGGGGGGGTCACCTTCGGCGATGGCCCCCAGGACCAGGATCCCCGACTCCTTGACCACCCACTCGAGGTGGAAGAGCAGCTCCTTGAGCAGGGGCAGCAGGTGGGGCAGCAGCTCCTCGCGGAACACGTTGGCCAGGACGTCCAGGGCGGCGGCCGAGCACTTACCTGGGCACAGGTGAGGGGGTTAACGACCCCCCCGGAACCCCCGAGCCCCCCCCAGCCCCTCACACCCCCCCCCTCCTTACGCAGGTTCCAGTCCGACAGGGTCTCGTCGTCGTCCTCGTCATCGCCGTCCCCGTCGCCGTCCCCCCCCCGCTGCTCCTCGTGCGCCAACGTCACCGTGCGCGACTTGTGGAACCGCGGCTTGATGTCCTGCTCGCTGTCCGGCACCGCCTCGTCCTCCTCCACGTCACCCTGCGGGGCATCGCGGCGTGACGTCGTCATATCGCGACGTGACGTCATCGTATCGCGACGTGACGTCATCATATTGCGACACGACATGGTCATATCGCAACGTGACATCATCGTATCGCGGCACAACATCATCGTATCGTGACACGACGTCATCGTATTGCGACACGACATCGTCATATCGCGACGTGACATCATCGTATCGTGACGTGACGTCATTGTATTGCGACACGACATCATCATATCGCAGTGTGACATCATCGTATCGCGACGTGACATCATCGTATCGCGACGTGACGCCATCGTATTGCGACACGACACGGTCATATCGCAGCGTGACATCATTGTATCGCGACGTGACATCATCGTATCATGACGTGACGTCATCGTATTGCAACACGACATCATCATATCGCAACGTGACGTCATCGTATCGCGGCACAACATCATCGTATTGCGACATGACGTCATTGTATTGCGACACGACAAGGTCATATCGCAGCGTGACATCATCATATCGCAACATGACATCATCATATCGCGACGTGACATCATTGTATCGTGACGTGACGTCATCGTATTGCGACACGACATCGTCATATCGCAACGTGACGTCATCACATCATGATGCGATGTCATCGTATCGCGGCGCGACGATGTTATATCGCGACAACGCCGTCGTATCGCGACGTGACGTCATTGCATCGCAACGTGACGTCATCGTATCGTGAGATGACGTTGTTGTATCACAACAAAACGTCGTAGTATCGTGACACGACGTCATTGCATCCTGACATGACATCATCATATCACGACGTGACAGCGTCGTATCGCGATGCAACGTCATCGTATCGCGACGCAATGTTGTCGTCTCTTGATGCGACGCCGCCGTTACCGCGACACGGCGTCACTGCACCGCAACGTGACGTCATCGCATCGCGAGATGACGTTGTTGTATCACAACAGAATGTCGTAGTATCGCGACGTGACGTCATCACATCCCGACACGACGTCATCGTATCACGACGTGACGTTGTCGTATCGCGATGTGATGTCATCATATAGTGATGTGAGGTCATCATGCCGTGACATCATTGTATTGCAATGTGACGTCATCGTGTTGCGATGTGATGTCATCGTATCGCGATGTGAGGTCATCGTATTGCAACACCATCATATTGTAACATGATGTCATCACATTGTGATGTCATCGCATTGCGACGTCACCGTATCGTGACGTGATGTCATCGTATCACAAAGTGACATCGTTGAATCGTAAAGTGACGTCACCACGTCGCGACACAGACCCCGCCCCGGATCAGACAGTACGAACACAACACCCATCACGGGGCTCAGTCCAGGGGTGTCATCACCTCCAGGGGGTGGGGGGCTCCCAGTCACACCAGTACGGCCCCCAGGGACACCGGTACGGCTCCCAGTGACACCAGTGACACCAGTACGGCCCCCAGGGACACCACTGCCC